TAGTACTTGAGATATCAGTGGAAAAACCGAAAATTGACTAATCATTATGCAAATTAGGTAATTAGTATCCACGGATTATTACCAAAAACTAATCAAAACCTAGCATTAGTTCAGAGCATCTATGTACCAAGTTTCATCAAAATCCAATGAGTGGTTGTTTAGATATCAGTGGAACAGTCATGGAACCACTAAAAAATAGCTAATTATCATGCAAATTAGGTAATTAATATGCACAGATTTTTACCAAAAATTAATCAAATCTGCGCATATGTTCAGAGCATCTATGTACCAAGTTTCATCAAAATCCAAAGAGTGGTTCTTTAGATATCAGTGGAACAGTCATAGAACAGCTAAAAATTAGCTAATTATCATGCAAATTAGGTAATTAACGAGCATGGATTTTTACCAAAACCTAATCAAATCTGCGCATTGGCCCAGAGCATCTATGCACCAAGTTTCATCAAAAACCGATGTATGGTTCTTGAGATAGCAGTGGAACAGTCGGACACACATACACACACACATACACACATACACACATACAGACACACTAACTGCAAAGACTCCCATTTTGTGCTTCGCACATGGGAGTCAAAAATTGAGTCAGTTTTTACTCAAAATATTTTGCTATTTTTGTCCGCATCTTCTGATGGAAAGTGCAGAATATAAACAACTATTTTATGAATTTGTAATGAAAAGAAGGAACTGGTGGCGAAAAGATTAAGTTCTTCTCTCCTGTAATTTTGTCAAATGTTCCTCTGATCTATGTAACCAAGGTATTTAGAACCAAGGACACGATGGTCATTGACGCTGTAGGTCGGGGTCTTCTACACCGATCTGACGCATACCGCGCAAGGTGTGCCGGGAGTTTGTTGGAAATTTCAAACGTTTCGAAGTCAATCGTCACGTATTTTACGGATAAATTAAATCTTTTCAGTTACCTGTTTACTAAATAATGATAAATGAAACTTAGAAAATTTGTAAGAACAAACTGGACCCAAATTGCGCAAATTTACGCTGCTTGTGTCTAGTTCGGAAGGAGTTCTATGCGTGATTTTATCGTGTTCAAGGACGTTCTATTTTGAACTCATTGAAACCGGAAATTACGCAAGTACTTTGGAACTTCATACACAAATTTTATTATCGTTGTGTGTTAGTTTCTGTTATTTACAAGCTTGAAATATTTATGACATTAACATTTCACCCACTAAACAATATTTCACTACAATACGCGATTAAAAAGCAACTTAAATTGGAAAAAGAAGTATCAAGTTCCGTGTATAAACACTAGTGCAAAGAGGCGGCGGAGCGCTATTTTAGCCAAATCGGCTAGTAAGGCGTCATATGACACAGGTCTGTGCTGGAACAGCGCTTCCTGTGACGACACAACGCACGATGGTGGGACAAAATGAAACACTAATGAATGAAAAAAAAAATCTCACTGTCTCACTGGTTCTCAACGAAATCTTGGCGGCCATTTTTATTTATGGTCTATTCACATTCCAATTTAACCCGACACACCATAACTCATAACCACCATACTAACCTTAAGAAGCTTCGGTACTGTAATAACTAGATGCGATATTTTTTCCTTCGTGAAATCAGCAATACTTTCATGTAAGACTTTATAATTGGTGTAAAGTGGTGGAATTACTTCAGCTTTATGGGAGATATCAATACCCTGTAGACACTGAGAACCATTAGTCTGAACACAGCCTGATATCCACTGGTCTCTATTGATATTGGATATAATCACAACACTATCATACATGTGTTCACTAAGTGGTAACATGTAGTGGGTATTTTCTGCTGGCTTTTTCATTTCTTGAGGTTTATTCCATATATTCTCATTAACAGTGACCCATTTTTTACCTGTTGAATGAAAAACATAATTATAATTATTAAGTATTAGGCCACACCGACTTAATTGTATGGATGACATTAGTTTTCACCTTTTTTCAAAAAAAAAAAAAAAAAAAAAAAAAAAAATCTCCAACGACGAGTCTCTACAGATCGGTTTTCTGTCCGGAACTTGCCGACTCATATTGTCGCAAAGCGCCAGCTTGTCGTAAAACTCTTTTTGGACTATCTAAAAACGTGCCAATTTTGTCGTAAATGATCTTCTGCACATGCGTATTGCGTTGCCAGGAATACGTGAGCATAACAGTTCAGAGGAAAAACTGAGGGATTGTTGTAGACTGGTACGCAATTGACGTCGGCCAGGGAGATATGACGTTTACACAGCTATACGAGAGATTGGTTAAAGCTAACCCCTACTGTGTAAAGAGGAGCAAGCAAGGACATTTCTGTATCATTGCAATGTTTTGTTAGTTATTGTCATAAAGTAGTGATATGTACATTCCGCCTTGACTTGTACTGAAAATGATGTCCATGTTGTACCTTGCATGCAGTG